AACTTGGCCAACACTCTCCATATAAAGACATGTGGCGCATTCTTTTACTGACACGTGTACTACTGGAAAAACAAACTCTTCACTTTCTTCTATTTGAAGCGTTGATTGAATCGCCTCTACATCCTCTTTTTTCTTTTGAAACCTTAAATGAATTACCTCTACATCTTTATAGAAACTTTACAGATTCTTCCTACCAAAAGCCATTACATCATTTGCAATATGGAAACCAGAATCCATAGGATCTCTAATCGCCAATTCTCACGCCTTCACTTTCCTACGCTTTATGAAACCTATTTCTTCAATGACGCAACTTCTCGTTCCTTCCTTTTCAATATCTTTTTTTTTTTTTGAAAATTTGGGTTCTCCGTCACCAGAATTCGAGGAGTTATAGTGGTTTGATTTTGTCTCTCCACACGTGTTCGTCAAGGCTTACACAGCTCATCGGAAAGGTCAATTTGACCAATCATGGTTCTATTCATCCTTTTTTGCTGATTTTGTTTTTAGATTAGTTTGGTGTTTGGGATTTGGACTTCGTTCATGAGAGTGCGCTGCCGAGAAATCATAATCTCAGAAGCATTGAGCTTTTATTTAGTGAATCTTTTGGTATTGTTACAGTATTTGATGCTTGGCTTTGTTTTTATTTATTTTGTGAATCCCTTGGTATTGGTATTTGATTCTTGGCTTTGTTTTTGGCCGTAACACTAAATGTTGCTACTTCTCATTTCAACATTTTTTCCTTGTACGTAGATTGGGCTGCACAACATTGTCAAGAGTGGTAAATTTATGGAACTTCCTCGATATGACCCTCGATAGTATATCAAAGCTGATATGTATAACCTTTGGTCAAATCTCTTTAATGTTTGCATCTATGAAGTTTGTATCTGTTTTTTCTGAGATAAATATTACTCTTTAGCTTTCATGGCAAAAAAAGCCTACATGAGGGATGGTCTTGGAGTTGGTGCTTTCCGTAGGATCTATGGAGGAAGCAAGAAGAACAGAAGCCCATTTCATTTATGCAAGAGCAGTGGTGGTGTTGCTCGCACGTTCTTCAACAACTCAAGAATATGAAGATCATCGACATTGATGCTAATGGGTGAGTTTATCAGTTCGTGGTCTTAACTTAAATAAATCTTTAGTATCATAAAGAAATTGTGTAGGCAAGAAAGTTAATACAAAGTTTGTATACACCAAAAAGCCACTTTGCCTTGTAATGTGCATGAGAAAGCTGCTTCAAGGTGCAATTACAACAAGTTAGTTGACTCACTGGATGCAATTTATATGGTTTTATATTATAACAACTTATTTGACTCACTAAGTGCAATGTATATGGTTTTATATTGTGCTATTAAACTTAACTGCTTTAGATTCCACACTATGAACACTTCGATACTAAAAGATCGAATTAGTAACTTCTCCTTGCCAATAACACATATATAGGAGTGACAAGCAAGATCAGAAAGGAGGGCATAGTAAAAGAACATTCTCAAAGGTTTGAGAATTTATGTTATTAAATACATTTTTCAGAGGGATCAAGCCAGAGAAACTGGTAAATGTTTATTACTTGGTGATTCATTAATTTTCATCTTATTCGCCAATCTTGTCTGTCGGGTTTTTCCCTGCATAGTTCAGATGCCACTAACGCAATCTCCATCGTATGGTTTAATAGGCTAATAGTCGAAGGAACGAAGTAAGATTGTATTACTACGCAGTCGAAGGTACTCTTGCATTTGCTATGTTTGCTTTTTTAAACTAGAAGATAGTATAAGAGAAGATACCAATATCAATTCATCGGATGGTGGTGAGACAATAGAAAAGATAAGGTAATATCTATAGTTGTTGATGTGTGTTTAGAGAAATATATTTTGATCAATTTGTATCCTCCGTCTTTTCAAATCTTTGCGCGAGTGGAACAAATAAGAATAATCAGTTTGAATCTGGTATTCAAGTCAGAGCAATCACAGTATTTCGTTTCTTTTTTAGTTTAATTGACTACAAATCTATTACTAAAACACGTTGTGGACTTCTTAATTAACTATTACATGATATCAACAAGACAAGTTATAGCTTGGTCTTTGCAAGATCGTAACTCCAATTAATACATTATATTACGCCTTCTTGACTTGAGCTTCTGTTAGTTCTACAAGTGCATATGCCAAAATATCTACACTTCATAATTGGAATAGAGAACACATTCGAGTTTCTTTGTGAATTATTAACAACTCTTTCGCTAAACAACACACAATTACCATACGAACACTAAACTAATCAATCTAATATTCTCCGCTACTACTTCCTCGACTTCTCATCCCTACCAACAAATAAACCATCTTACCTTATCATATAGCTTCTAAATCAAACCATCAAATTCAAACATTAACTACAACGTAAATTGTCAGTACAAAAAATAATTGAAATATAACTCCACCTATAATTATTAACATTTTGAGTCTCATAACCAACAATACAATCTGCAAACCATAAAGAGAAAAAAATATTCATACTTACGCTATTGAAGAAATTAAATTAGTCAATTCTTGGATATAATATTGGGAATACATCAAAACCCGCGCGTAGCGCGGACTCTCATCTAGTTGTAATAAATATAATAATTAAAAGATTGTTAATATATGAAAAAATAGATGTTGAGGTAATTCTAAAATATTACATTTAGTTGGATTGAAAAATTTAAAAATTGGATTTAAGTTAAAAATTAATGAGAATATGTAAAAAAATTTCATTAGGGCATATACGTTTAATTGGTAAAATTAAATGAGGTGTCCCTTAAATTACTCTTTGATTGACACCTAGGATTTTTTTCTCTAGTGTTTCCTCAATTAATATATATATAGAAGATTCATAATTCTAATTCAAGTTAAAACAAAATTTAAATTAAAAATCATTTTAAATAAACCAAATTAAAATATTATCAACAAAACACAAAACAGTTTGTTACTTAGTTAATATATTGACAGAATATATTATTTGGATAAAGTGTACATTTTTTGGCAGATAATTTGAAAATCTTCCAAACGTGTTGGCACATTTAGCTATCAAATCATCTAGTTTCTCAATGTTCTCTACCAATATCTTGGCAGACTCTGCGAATATATTGCAGAAGCAACGAAAGTCTTCTAAACATGTTGGCAGACTTAGATATCAATTTGCTAATCTTTCAATGTATCGGCAGAGTCTGCGGTTTTCTAACAGACGCTCCAAAGTCGGGAAAATAGTCAATTTGGACCTCAACTTTTTTTCGTCGTGTTTTTTTAGACTTGAATGTTTACATGTGTCTAATTTTAATCTGAAGTAAAAACTAATTCAAATTTCGTATCAGAACAAACATCACATGTGCCGAAATGTACCTTGACCACTTTCTCGTTAGTCAACGTTAACAGAATAATGACTAAGATGACACATGGATTAGCTGGCTCGGTTTTGTGTGCTCAAAACAAAGTCCTTTCGTTTTTTTAGTAAAACGAAGTCATTTTTATTTACGGTAAACTCAAAATAAAATCCTTTATTCGATAAATCTCCAAATGAAAGTGACGTCATTTTATCTAATTAAGGATTCGATTTTGAGTTTTCCCCAAAGAAAAATGAATTTTTTTTATGAAAACAATGAAACGATGTGGTATTGACCTATTGAAACCGAGCCAGCTAATCAATGCGTCGTCATAGTCATTTTTCCGTTAACCTCGACTAACGGGAAAATAATCAAGGTACATTTTGGCACATCTGATGTTAGTTTAGGCATGAAATTTGAATTATTTTTTAGTTCAGGTTGAAATTAGTCACATGTAAAAATCCAGGTTTAAAAGAGCACGACGGAAAAAGTTGAGGTCCAAATTGACCGTTTTCCCCTCAAAAGTCTTCCAGATAAGTCGGCAGACTTAGATATCAATCAGTCAATGTCTCGGCAGAGTCTGTGGTTTTCTGGCCGACTTTCCAAAGTCCTCCAAATAAATTGATAAACTTAGATATCAATATGATAGTTTGCGAATATATCGGTAGAGTTTGCCACTGCCTTGATAAAGTATGCGTTTTTCTGGCAAAGTCTGCTAATGGCTGGAAAGAGTCTGCGTTTTCTTGGCAAAGTATGTTAATGTCTCGACAGAGTCTGCTAATACTTCGCCAAAGTCTGCGTTTTCTTAGCAGAGTTTGCTAATGTCTCGGCAAAGTCTGCGTTTTCTTAGCATAGACCAATATCTCAGTAGAGACTGCATTTTTCTACCAGACACTTTAAAAGTCTTCCAAACATGTTGGGAGAATCAAAATATTAATATGTTAGTCTACCAATGTCTTGGTAGAGTCAGCCAATGTTTCGGTAAAGTTTACCGAGGATAATATTAGTATTACGAACAAAATAAAAACAAAATAGGTTATTTTAACAATAAAAAAATTAGAGAGATTATTATAGTTATTCGTAAAAAAATGTAGGTTTTTATTTTTGGTCACGAAAATTAAAAAAAAAATCTCATTTTCCGATCTTTGTTCTCAAGTTCTTACAACATAGAAATTTTGGATCCCTCTTTTTAATCTACA